TAAATATCGAAAATTGATTTCGTGTGCACTATAATCTTGTACAATATATAAATATGAGGTTTAAGGATAGTTAATTTAGATTGTTTTTTTTTTACTTTTTGAGTTTTTTGTTATTATTCGTTTGTTGGAGTCTGTACAAAATTATTAATTCAAAACAGAAGTCTATATGACTGAGATTTTATATTGAACCAAATTATATTAACAAGTTCTAGGATTTTTATAATGTCCAATTACCCAAAAGTTGGGAGCTGCTCAAATTGTACTACATTTTTGTCTCCTTTGTGGCTTTTGGGCGAAAGTGCCAAATTTATACATTTCTTTAAACTTCAAACCCTGCCCAATGTGTTGTGTCTAATCAAAAGAACTGTATCTTGTCTAAACTCAAATTTAAGGGAAATAATTTTTGAGTCCCCAGCCAGCGTTTCTTATGATAATGTTTTGAGTGATTTTACAAATTTATATAAATTAATTTTAGTTATACATTTTTAATATGTCCAATAATTTATCTATTGTGATTTTTGTATTATCTTGTGAACTGTTTTAGTCTGTCCTATTGCCAATCTTAATAACTGATAAACAGAAATCTGAGACTAAAACAACAATGAAAAAAATATAATTCGACTTTTGGTGAATTTTGCTCAGATTGGGACTTAATGTCAGCTTTTAGATTGGCTATTAAAATTGGCAAGTTAGTTTTAGTTTTGCGTCTTCGCATTCCACTCCTGTCCATTCTTAGTGCAAATTTTTAGTGAATTATACTCCTGACTAGCATTTATAGATGTAGTGATCTCATTTTTCATCTCGCACCATGAAGCAATTACTTAGTATAAATTTATCTTGTTTTTTGGTATTAAAACTTCAGTCCTCTTACAAAACAGTCATAGCTAATGAATAAATTTAATTGCACCGTTTCAAAGTACTTTTCAACACAGCGTAAATACAATGTGACAGAGACAAAAGAGTAAGGTGTGCAATTAGACGGATTTACGCCTTTAGTACACCTACGCAATCGCATGCGGCAGCGAAACGACGAAAAAACTGTAAGTTGTATGGCAACGTTTCGCATGTGTTTTGTCTCGCTCTATTATATAGCTAGATGAAATAGTTGCGTCCTTGTCGGTATTGTTTCGCAAGTAACTGCGAAATGGCTGTTACACAGACGCAGCCGTTTCGCTAGCGGAGTTTCGCATCGCAATGCGTCACCACGCGTTCTGTCAGTGAGGACAGAATTTCGCACAATGGAAGCCGAAAATATTGAATTATTATTATATTTGATTCGAAATTATCCCGAATTATATTTAGTTGGGCATGTTAATTACAAAAATGCATACAAAAAAGAGGTGGCATGGAGGAAAATTCAAGAAAAGACGGGGATAGATGGTAAGAAATAAAGCTACAATGACATTTCCTTGCGAAAAAACTGCAGTGTACTAACGTTCCGCAGATATTTCGCTACCGCAATTATTTCGCAAAGACTCGCAGCCGCATACGAACGCGTAGGTGTACTAAAGGCGTTAGTGTTAATAAATAAGGGATAGGTCGTATATGTCAATGCGATAGTGACACATTATGACATCTCGAATGCATACAATTTGTAGAGAAATGCCTTTCCAAAGATATATCCGTTCTTCCAATTAGTTCCAAATGCGCCCACGGAACGCTTCTTTAGTTTTCAATACAAAAATCTATTATGATGATGCGTTTTTATTGAGTGTTTCATATGATTCGAGCTAAGGGTATTAGCCACGGTGTGGTTTCAGTAACGCAGAGACTAAGACAAATTTGTGTATGTATTTTATCTAAGAAATTGCTTTGTGTGGTGTTAATTCTATCTTATGAATTTCGCAACTATTGTACAATTAGATTTTTGTAATATACACATTTAATTAATCATGTTAATCACATTTGACTATCAAATAATATTATTTTGGTAGTAAGGTGAATAATATTTTTGTTTAAAAGTTCCTATAATCAAGTTTTATCCTTTTATGATTTTTTTTCGTCACAAATATAATAAGATAGTTTAAGTTTATTTATTGTATATAATCTCGTTCATTTACTAAAAGCAGACTTCTATAAAAAATTAATAACTAAATATATTAAGAATAAACACTAATTATAGGTTTGGAGTACGAAAAATTTTTTCATTTGTTTTTTGATCGATTATACCAAACTTTTTCTTGTCACGGATTTTCAAAATTTTGTCGATCTTTTTGGGATTTTCAATGAACTTTTCAGTCTTTGACTTTACTTATTAATAAACGTACTAAAGTTATAGATCTCAAATAGCTACTAATGTTTTATTCATGTCATATTTAAAATTTGCCAAAACTTTAATTAAAGGGATGGCTAATGCTTTGATTTTTTTATCGCTAATCATTAATTAGTGATATATATAATATGAAATATATAGATACTAAGGCTGCTATACATATTAGTATATGAACGATATTAATTTAACCATTTAGACGTAATAATGGCGCCAAAAACTTTTACTCAAGCACTAGCTGCCATAGATTTTGATACTCTAGTATTAATTAATAAGCATTTATAGATAATAGCGAAACAATAGACAATTCAATATGTTAAGCAATTATTTCCAAAAAACACAAATTAGACAATTCTAGTATAATTCGGTTAGAATGTATTTGACAAGTTTAAAAATGTTGCAATATGTAAAAATTTATTTGGGATTCGTAAGTTTCGATACTGCCAACACTGATTATTGTATCATATATTTATATGTGAAAATAAATGAATGTAGAAAATTTATTATTTTTATTTCAAAAGCTAATTACCACATTTTTCAGAAAAACTAAATTGAACTGCAACTGAGCTACGCTTTGTCAGTCAAATGTGTTTACCCTTTAAAGAAATTATGAATAATAAATGCCCTATTTGACAAACACAGGTGATTAATTTTAATGACGTATATGTTTATTGTAGAAGTTAAATTCACCAATTACAAAAAGGAGAAAGAACAACACATTATATTCATATTATTTATTAATATTCTTCGTATACAAAATACAAAACTACTTTTCTATAACAAATTTAAATCACATATAATTTATTTCAGAAACCAACCACTTTTCCGATCGGAAAATCAAATTTAACAGGAATTCAAGTTGAAAGTTTATTTACAATACAAAAAAAAATCTCGCTAGTGACAGACACGTTTCTGAACGTAGCTTCGATTTTTTTCATCTTATCCTTTTGAAAAATCAGTGTAATTTCATTGTTTTAATAAACAAGTCAATTGTGTCATACTGTGTGTATACTGTGATAGAGATAAAGTTCTTATGTTAAAAGTGTGAAAATAACTTTTACTTACTTAACTAGTGCCCAGTTTTCCTACGTTTTCCGGGTTAATACGTAGACATTGACAGTTTATACGTCTATCCGCCTAATTAACTATTGAGGAAAACCGTGCACTAGTTTTTGAGTTTATCGCGAACAGACGCGGGGGAGGCTTTTGAGTATCCGATCGAAAAGCGTTAATTGAACACGAGTTTTATATAATTATTTGAATTAAATGTTTTGTGTCTATGTCTTAATCGAGATAACTTATAATCATCAAATACAGATTCCTATATACCCTGTAATCATTTTTAACAAAGTAACTATTTGCAACATGGTGTTTATTAAATAATAACTATTTTAATATGACAGGAAGGTGAATATTTTCGAATTGTTCAGTTCCATCATTAGGAAAATATTAATAAAAAACTTACCCTATTAACTAAAATTCACAGCTTTATAACTTTTACAATTTTCGAATAAAAAAATTGCTCCATAAAATCTATGAACAAAAAAAAATCCTAAAAGTGGTCCCTAAATTCCATAGATTTTTTTTAAATTAATCAATCTCTCTCAATCTTCAACGTATAATAATTAAACAGCTAATATTTTGCCCTCATCAGTTCTGACGTTTTAAAAACGTGACAAATTGTTTAACTTCCATATAACTGTAACCGTTTAGCAAAGTAAACTACATACACTATAGTTTTCGTCTACTCGACAAATTAAATATCAAATATAATTCAAATTATTAGCCAAAACATTTTCTAATTGAAAGGTAAATGAGACCATATGTATATTAACTTTCTTAGCAGATAAAGGAACATAAATTTCTCTCTTAAATTATAAATCAACATCTTAAACAATAACTACAATATTCTTGAATTGACAATTGAACAGTCGAAAGAGGCTATCTGTAAAATCAAAATATATTTAATAATAATTCAGCAGATTTAAATGAAACATGTCCAGAGGTAATTTGATACTTTGACAATTCTAGCTCAAAAATCTCACGAAACGTCAAGTAATAAAAAAAAAACATTTATATCAAATGACTAACTGAGCAATCACATTTGAAAATAATATTGTTTTAATCAAATTACGAACGAACGGCGAAGGAAGACACTAGAAAACCGCTTGTCTTAGACCCAATAAGTCGACGGCGTGTGTCAGGCACAGGGCTAATAACCTACTTGCCTATTACATTGACAAATGGTCATGAAACAGATACAGAAATCTGAGGCCCAGACATAAAAAAAGTTGTAGCGCCACTGATTTATTTTTATGTTATATAAAACTAGCGGCCCATCCCGGTTTCGCACGGGTGGACATTTTTTTTAAAATTGTAGACATTGATAAGTTCTTTAATATTGTGAAACATTTTTTTGTTCTATCATCAATAGTTTTCGCAGCGCATATCATGCGATGAAACATATTTTATAGGCATTTTTTTTCTTGCAATTAAAATATAATATATAATTTATCCTATATTAATCAGTGATAATGTAGCATTCAAATGGTGACAGAATTTTTAAAATCGGCCCAGTACCTTTTGAGTTAATTCGTTACAAACATACATACATACAAATCTTTCCTCTTTATAATATAAGTGTAGAAGTATAGATGTAACTACTAATCACACAAAAATTGCCGTTTAATAACTCAAACAGCTCAAAATTTTAAAATAAATGGCATACCTATTAAGTAAGGGTAGCGGCGTGTTCAAAATCTCCTTTGTCGAGTTGTTTTTGTTTTCCCGGTTCATAAAGAAGCATCGAAGTGCGTACAGGACTGGTCTTATTACGCTGCATATCTGAAATTAAACAATGCAAATACCCTCATAAAATCCTGGTTAAGGAAGGTTCTTTTTATCAGAAATTTCCATGCTATGTATTATTATTAGCAGTGCTGCCTAGTGCTCGTTCGGTGAAGGAAATCATCGTGAGGAAACCGAGAAGATACACAAAAAGTGGACGGCGTGTGTCAGGCACAGAAGGCTGATCACCTATTGCCGATTAGAGAAATCAAATCACGAAAGAGATACACCAATCTGAGACCCATACCTAAAAGGTTGAAGCGCTAGAGGTTTTTTACTAGAAATTTTAAATTACTTCAAATTCTTAAATTTTATAGAAAAAAAAACATCAATTTATCTTTGCCAACAAACGTTACCAACCACGTTACTAGACATCATTTTCTAATCGAATTCCAACAAAAAAAATACACTATTGTACTGTACTAATAATAACTTGTGCTAATGTACTATTTTTGAGAGCTTTGCTTACTTTTGCTGGCAAGAGAACTGCAGTAAATCTGCTTACGTAATACTTGAACAGCCCTTTCATTATTAACACAAATTACGAAAAAATATTATGTACTTGATAATAGGAGTCGATTTGAAGGCCTGTAGACCGGTTCTCGATTATTAACGCCCCTGGAAAAAGGAAAATAAAAAGTATATTCATTAAACTCACATCTCAAGCTGAGCCGACGGCGATGCTGTGAGCAGATCTCGAGTTGTCTCCTCACCAGTTGAGAGGCGGAAGCCGGTCGGGCGCTTAAAGGGAGGCTGGAGGTTCCTGGGATTATGTCCGATGATGCCGTCTTTGTGTGGTCTAAAGAATGTTTAAAGAACTTATGTTTTATGCTCATTTCGACTGGTCCATATTCTTAAACTGATATTAGGATAACTAGAAAAAAAGTGCGTCCGTACAACGTACACAGTACACATGTCAGAAGTGAAACTTCTTTGGCAAAATAATTTTTAAGTTCATAGTTATACAAATCTAAAACTTTAGATTTCCGAGACTTAGAGGGAGGGAAAAAGGAAGATATGTTAGGAATTTAATTGTCATTAAAATATTAAGTGTCGCAAATTAATACAAATAATAAATTTAATATTTTTAATTTATTTCTTCGATAATAAAAGCACGTGGCATTTCAATTTACAATTCGTCACTGAGATTTCAATAAATTATTTTATGAAATATAAAATACTATTATTTCATAAATTCTCTTTACGAAATTTGAATTTTAAAAATATAATTTCTAAAGGTAATTTACCCTTCTCACTCTATCTCTCAATCGCTCTCTCCCTTTCGACCAAAACACTGCAATCTTCGTGACGTTCCGTAAAAATTTTACCCTCATGCGCCTAAAGAAGTTTCACTTCAAAAAAAAGTATATAGCATATCTGAGAGTGGACAGGCCACTCGCGAGTTTAACGCGGGCGCCATCTCTGCGTCCAGTACTACGTGTGTGTCCGTGGCGATTGGACCAAATCCGTCTTATCACATTCGCGCGTAGGAACGCCGCATCAGGACATAGCACAAATCAAGACGCGCGTAGACAAGCATTTCATAATATATATGTATTTCTTTTTTGTTGTCATAAGTGTACATTGTGTTACCTATATGAATAAATGATTTTGACTATTGTAATGATTAAAAATTATACGGGCTTTTATTATAATTATTATATTATTTAACAAAAAAAGTAACAAACCCAAACTACGAGGGTAGGACATAAAAGCCTGTGCAGGTAGTTTGATTTCCCTTTATAGATCTAAACAACTAAAAGGAAATAAGTGCTACAATAAGGCCGTCTGTTGCCATCCTAATAATTTGTTTTAACGGCTTTTATATCGTAGTATGTATTTATACCGAAGTGTAATTTATATAAAAAAAAAATGATGCGTCTACTTATGTACGCGCGTAAGAAGTTATACACTTCTTTGGCTTTCTTTATTTTTTTAAAATATTAAATAATTAATAATAAATATTTAACAATATTTAATATTTAGTATATTATTCAATTATTAATTAATATTAATAATAATTATTATTTATTATTTTATTAATTCAATTTAATAACTAGGTATGTTTCATAACCTTTTAACTAAGTAACAATAGGTCTTTGTGAAAAAGCATTGCTAAATTTCTTTGAAAAAATAATTAAAACTCCTTTATTTGTTTAAAAGGTACTACAAATGTCATTATGGTCATTCAAAATTCTTGACGTGGCTGCTAACGTCACGCATATTCTATTTCTTTTTACTTGTCTTATTCCCATCTCGCTCGCGCACGCTCGGCGCCCATACTGATAATTTTGTGTCACGGTGCGCGCGCATCGTACAAATTCACTCTCATACATTTTTCATAACGCGCCTAAAGAAGTATAACTTCAAAAACATCAGCAATCAAACACTAATAATTTACTAATTGCTGCATGATCGGGATACCTTTTTTATTGAACAGAGGAATCTTTACCCAATATTAATTAAATGCCGCCAAATCAGGAAGCTCGCGAATGCGTTGACGGCCTTTCGAGGTATAAATTATACCTATTTTTAAAGGGAAAGTCGTATTGAATAACTTACCTCTTTCGGTCAGTACGATTTCCCGATGCATCTGCGACAGTTCAGCGTCGTTTATCAACACACGGTGCTTAAACCCGTCGTAAGTTTGATTCCGGTCGGAAAACATTACATTCGCCTTATCCTCTAGTATGGATGAGTCCATTGACGATAGCTGGAAGGTAGAACAAAAAAAATGTATTTAAATGAAAAAAAAACGCGCACCATTTGGAACCAGCTGCCCACTGAAGTATTTCCGAACCAATTCGGTCCTTCAAGAGAAGAGCGTACCATTTTGTAGAAGGCCGGCAACGCACTTGCGAGCCTTCTGGCAGTGTGTGTCCATGGGCGACGGTATTACTTAACATTAGGTGAGCCTCCTGCCCGTTTGCCTCCTATTACATATATATATCTATATATATAAAATTCTCGTGTCACAATGTTCGTTCCCATACTCCTCCGAAACGGCTCGACAGATTCTTATAATTTTTTTTATGCATATTCAGTAAGTCTGAGAATCGGATACTATCTATATTTCAAACCTCTAAGTAATAGGGGGTGTCCTGCGCAATTAATTTTTATTTTTTAGAAACTTTTTTTTGTTTTTATTTTTTTATGATACAGCATACAAAAATACATACAACCCCTAATTTTCACCCCTATACATTCAACCCCTATTTTTGATAATTGTAGATAGTTATTTTTATTGAACTAAAAAAATGTTTCCTAGTATTATTATACATGGCAAAACAAACGTTTACCGGGTCAGCTAGTACCTATATATAATTATACATACCGTCTTACTCCTATTAGTCGGACTCGACTGCGGTCGATTCTTAAAATCAATATGGTTAACTCCAGCTCCGGCACTCTTCTTGATGATCGGCGACAATTTCCTGAACTCATTTCTCGGCTCCAATTCGATTTTCACAGTTTCCGTTGTAGATGTATTCGCTCGACCGAATAAAGGCGACAGTTTTGGTTTTATCACGCTATCAGAGTCATCCATACTTTCCACAGTAATTGTCGAGTCACTCGACCCTTTCACAGGCTTGACTACGATCAATCCATTATCCTTTGGAAGTGAATAATTGGGATTCTCAAATCCAGTTTGAGTGGCTATGTCATCGCTGTGAGCGGTGAAAGTCTGAGAGCCTCTAGATGACTTTGTAAACATACGCCGTCTACGTTCCAATTCGGCATGTATATCTGTTTGCACACGCAAGTTGATGTCGCCATACCGACTGACTATATAATTGAGGAGCCACTGGTAGCCTTTCCGAAGGCCTGGGTCGATTTTAGGCTTTTTTGAATTCGTAAATGATGCTTCGGCTGTATAAGATTCAACTAGTGTAGGGCATCTGTATCTGTAAATAATATTAATATATTACATGGAATGAAACATAGTGTACAATATTTAAAACTAAAGGACAAGATAAGAACTACAGAAATAAGGAATAAAACAATAATGCACTATCCCATGGCAAAACACTTAAGTGAAAATGGGCGTGCACACCGCTGGCATGAACAATGGCAGATGGACAAACAGGGTAACAAGGTGAAAAGGGACACCAGGTAAAACAAAGAGGCCCTTTTGCAAGGTGGACCAAAAGCTTAAACAAGTTGGTGGAGAAGATTGGGAGAAAAATGCTCAAGATAGAGAGCGGTCGTTGGAACAAAAAAACATAATTTATTTATTTATAATTATTTCTGTATAAAATGTTAATTGTGTGTATATTTTGTAAAGATGAATAAATTTTTCAAGAAAAAAATGAGGCTTAAATAATATAATTATCATCAACTCAGAGACAAACTAACCTTCTACACTAGAAAACTAAATCTTAACCACTTCCTAAAATTCAGAAGTCACATAGAACATTTAATTAGGCTAATAAAAACATTAATAAACTTACTTGTTAACTAGAGGTTCTATATTTAGTTTCTCTACAACATCTATATCATCGAGAGCTCCTGTTTTGTCCTGTTTGTTAGCCAGAACTAACACTGGTTTACCTGAAATATTTTTTTTTTAGATTAGAGCTAAATTCAGAATAATTATTATTATTAAATTGAAATTAGAACAAAATAAAATTTATGATAGTGATTGAATTTACAAGACTAACATACGCAATAATTAAAATAATTTCTGTAACCCTATGTAAAAAATATTTATCTACCCTACTTTTTATTAAAATAATAATTAATAAAAATAGTTTTATTTAGAGTAATATTCGCTAATTCATGTTGTGGTTAAAATAAAAGATTAGCACTTTACACTTAATTTAGTTTTAATAATTTCAACCTTTTACCTAAAACAATGTAAGACAACAATTATAATAAATGGATATTCATAATGTTAAATTTTAAATATACATAGCTAATTAAATATTTTTTTAAATTATGGATTTATCAAAGAATATTTTTTTATTAAAAATAATAAATATTATTTAATAAAAAACGATTATAACATTGAAAATATAATCTCAATTTCACTTCATATAGCAGGAAAACTAATTAAAAAAACGACCACACAACCGTGACAATCAATTATGATACACTGATAAGGCATTAATAAAAACGCTTCACTTACCCGATATTTTATCATGCGATAGAACCTCTTCTAATACGACTTTACATTCTTCCAATCTGTTATAATCGCTCGAGTCGATTACAAATATTATACCATGTACCTCACTGTAATATTGAGACCAAATCTGTCTAAACTGCGGCCCGCCGCCCAAATCATATATAGTTACAGGCGTATCCTTATGAATAAGATTCACTGCCTTAAAACCAACTGTAGGCAAAACTTTATCATCATTTTCTCCTGCTAAATTGTTCACTGTTTTAGTCTTGCCCGCGTTGTCTAATCCGATCAAAATTAACACTATATGACGGCGTAAACGACGCCGCCGAAATATTCCCCAACAATTACCCATTATAAAAACTTTAGCACACTATTTTGGCAATAATATCACGGATTTTATCATAAATTCTTCACAGAACTTTGAAATTGCAACGTGCCGCCATTCGTATTGTTACCTACCTTTTTTGTTGACACAATGGTTACCAATGGCAATAGAGTATGCGGCCAGTATTATTCCAAAGACAAAATGTCAATAAGTACCATTTACACACGAGTTTGCACTCTATAAGCACAATTGCACAAAAATGTAGTAATTCTTACCCAGCATTGGAGTAAACTTATATAGTCTTTTTTGACACTAATTTTAAACAAAATTCAGATAATAAAATCTTATTTAAAAACAAAATTTTCCGCCGTTAACGTCTGCATTCAGTAAACTATTAAGAAGTTAATAACTTCTAAAGGCACGCATAATAATATGTGTTATCATTAGCAATGTTGTTAAATAGATAAACCAAGGTTACAGGTGTTCCAATAATTAAGAATTTACGAACTTCACCTTCAATAAAGGTCAGACTATTAAGTGTCACATCATAATAAGTAATTAACGTAACTATTCGAGTATGATGGCTCGATCTAAATCACGATCGTACTCGCAATTCGTCTAACGTCACTGGTAGAGATTTAAAAGGTATAAGTCAAAGCAAATTAAATAACTAACGTCCGTCCGGACGGCTACTAATTTATCTGGTAAAGTATATAATTAATAACAAACGAAGGCATAAAATTACCCGCTGTTAACGGGACTCGCCTTCCACTACCAGCTCACCCGCTGACCGTTCCCTGGAGCATCATCTGGCTGCCTGTCTTTTGTCCGCAATAGTCACCATTTAAAAATAATTGAATTATATCTATTTAGTTTTAGGATTTGGGTTAAAAAAGTTAGGCTTAAAAAATACATAAGACTTTTATTTTCTTGAAATAAATACAGGTACAATTCCTTGTTATTTACAAAGCTGAACTTTGAAAGTATAATGTTAATAATTGCGCGCCAATAATAACAATGCATCTTGTGTTTGCCATATCAGTAAATTTAAATTATCTAAATCTGACAATTATTGCATCGCCACTTTTAACTGAAAAGTATGCTAGATCTTTCATCACATTGTCCAGTTCCATTTCTGAGCCATTGTCTTTATCATATAGTAGGTGTAAAGTTGGATGTTTGGTGTTGCCTTTTGAGAAAAGTCGTTGAGCGAGTGTTACCAATTTTTGTACTGCCATTGTCGAAGGAAATTTCTTTTTTAATACTTTGCCATTTTCATCTTGTAGAGTAACTTCCAAAAGCTGTGATGTCAGTGTCATGTTCTTCTGTTGCTTAACAAGCAGGCTGTCGTCGGGAATGCCATATTCTGAAAGAATTTTAAAAGTATACAACACCATAATAAAGAGCAGAGACATTGTCAATTAATTTAGTTTAACTTATGTCAATAAAACATGGAACTTCTTTAACAGATATAGATATAGTATATACTATATACTAATTTATTACATTATTGCTATAACTCCATGTTTAGAGACGTCCAGTAATGGAGAGGCACTAAAAGAAGAATTTAACACTTGACATTGGTGATATTTTCATTTAAGTCTAAATCTAGCTATTGTACATTCATTGCCGCAAAGTATATAGCAAAAGCTTACTATCAATTAACTCCTGAAAACGATTGTGCTCCAAGTCAAAAGCTTTTTTCTTGCAAGTGTCACTTTGAGCTAATTTCCATTCCGCTCCATAACGTTTCAAATAGTCATATTCGGCTCCACGGCGTGACTCACGAGTTATTATAGATCCATTTAGTTCCTGAAAAATTATAGTTAAAGTAACACTAAATATTTGATTATTAGATTCATTATAGTCAGTATAAAATTTGTGTTAAACTGATTATAATAAATATATAAAAAGTGAGGCATTTGCTTACAAAGTTTATATTACCTGTAAAGTCCCAATTTTAGCGATAATCAGTTGTGAGCCAGTGTCATAGTCTTCGGAGTCTTGTATTGGGTTCTTCAGGAAGTAAAGCTTTTTGAGATTCTTTAATTTGTTCAATTCACTTACTGACTGCCACTGAAAGTAAATATTTTTGCATGCAAATAAATATAAGAACTACAGATGTAATGTAATAAATTACAAATTGTACACTTTGATACATCTATGTAAATTTTTGAAGTTATACTTCTTTAGGCGCGTTATGAAAAATTTATGAGTGAAATTTTACGATGCGCGCGCACCGTGACACAAAATTATCAGTATGGGCGCCGAACGTGCGCGAGCGAGATGGGAATAAGACAATCTACAAGTAAAAAGAAACAGAATATGCGTGACGTTAGCAGCTATGCCAAGAATTTTGAATTTTTCAAATAATTTTTCAAAGAAATTTAGCAATGCTTTTTCACAAAGACATATTGTTACTAAGTTAAAAGGTCATGAAACATACCTAGTTATTAAATTGAATTAATAATATAATAAATAATAATAATTATTATTATTAATATTAATTAATAATTGAATAATATATTAAATATTATTAAATTATTAACGTTAAATATTTATTATTAATTATTTAATATTTAAAAAAAATAAAGAAAGCCAAAGAAGTATAACTTCTTACGCGCGTACATAAGTACACGCACCATCATTTTTAAGTTAACTTACATCACGAATTCGATTTCTGTTTAAGAACAAAACCTCCAAATTTTCAAATAGATCTTTTGCATTGCCAGGGTCATTGTTAAAACGGATACTTTCAATCAAACAGTCGTTTAAACTAAGAACATTCAATTTTCTTAATCTTCCCAAATGAATAATTTCTTCCCATGAATCAATAGGGTTGCCATCTAAACGTAAAACTGATAAAGTCCTCAAAGTGACATCTGGTGGCGTTATTTCTTTGATCCTATTATACGCAGCTATGATTTCATTGATATTGGGCCAAAGGTGAGAGAGTGCTAGAAGATCAAACCAATTGTAGTCACAAACAGATATGTTGAGTTTTTCTAAACTTGCAAAATTATTAGAGAGATGTAGCATTGTTTCTTCTGGCATGTCAATTGCCATACGGTTTTTGCTGTAACACAAATTAATATTGTCAAGACACTTAATTAAATTTAACTATATTCAATCAGTAGTCAATGCACTCATTATCTGATTACTCATCATTCAAGACCACTTAAACCCATAAATAGTATATGTACTAATAATTTTAAATACCTGATATTCAATTCATTCAATTCAGGTAGCTGTGCAGATATATTAATCACTTCCCGCCAGTTTGCAAATAGATTTTGTGAAACATCAAGACTTCTCACATTTGGACACAGAGTTGCTAGGTCACCAGCCCTTGCAACATTCTGATCGTGAACACACACTTCTTGAAGACGGTCAAACTTTCTGAAATAAAAAAACATCTATAAGTGTACTTATAATTTTTAAGTAAAGTTACTTGAATTTAAAGTGTCTGTTACTTTTTAATAGAAATGAAGTTACATTTTCTCCTCTTTTAGTGAAAGTAATTTTACATGGGACATAAATGAACTCTGTTGAAAATTTTTTTAAATGTTGAAGTTCTAATAAATCACTTTTAAGTTAATATAAACATTACTTACTGCTTTTGATGTATCTTTTCAAAACCAACCATTTCAATAAATGGTGCACCCATTTCTCTTTTCCATTCATTGATAACAGTTCTGCGATGAGCAGCTACTGTCTCATCCTAATAATAAAGTATATTTAAAATAAACAATTTTGATAAAAAGGCATCTTTTATATCCTCAATCAAACTAAAACCTCTGAGCAATTCAAGATTTATATCTAATAATAAGAAATAATTTTAAACAGCATTTAGATGTGAATTGTATGTATACAGATCTAGCTAATACTTTTACTTTCATACACATATAGGTCAATTTCCATTTAAGAAAAATGTTTAACATTGTGATCAAAGACTTGTGCTTATGCTACATATTTGCAAGACATTAAAGTATTGAAATTGTTTGTCTTGTATACTTTCAGTTTCTATGGAAGATTTCAAGAGTAAAAATCTAAATCTTTGCTAAGACAATGAAGCTGTTTCTTTTGTGTGGGTAGGTGAATCATACATATTGAGATTCAATATATCATAGGATTAATAATAATAATAAAATAAACAACATAGTTACATTTATTTTTATATAATGATCACAAATAAATACCTCACGATCTCCATAGTACTTTTGAATGGCTTCAGCACAGGTTCTCACAGGAGAAACTTTATTAGGGCGGATGAATGACCCTCCTCCTGGTCTAGTTGTTTTGAAGTATTGGATACCGTCAAGACTTCCGTCATGCTTTCCACGTTCTATGTTATCCCATTCGACTCCATACCAGATGCCTTTATATCCCTGGACATCACCTATGTACTTAACAGTACCAAAATCATCATTACTCTTGATCCTACAACCGATCGTCACCTGCATTTCATCATCGTCACCATTATGACTGTTCATTGCACCATTACAAAATTTTGGTATTAAATTTACAGGCATTGCGCCCACCATTATTTCAACAAATTTAAAAATGGAACTATTTATCAAAAGAAAAACAGTCTGATTGATTTTTTTTCTTACAAGATACAAGACTCAAGAGCGACAATCGAACGTCACTGTCAAAAAGCAGTGCTTTTACAAAACCATATGTCAGATTTGTCCTTTGTCAAGATCTTATTAATATAAGATAATAAGATGTCTTGTCAATTTTTAAAGCCATAGTCTATAATAAAAAAAGCTAACCAATGAACTACTATACGTCTTATTAAAATCACACAAAAGTATAATGCTATTTTGATATCAGTTCATTCATTATCGCTTCACTAATTTATTAAGACTCATAGCACAAGTTTAAACAATATGATATAACTCATTTGAACAATTTACTGTAGATTGTTAATCGTTATTTAGTATCTGTACTTATTGCTGTCTCATTTTTACGGTCTACCGTCCCGGTACACGAAAGAATTTCGGTTCGCACAGCAAGCGTCCTCTAGTCTTGCGCGTATTTTGAAGTCGAAAACAGAAAATCGGAACGTAAATTTTTAAGAAAAAAAACTTCGGAGCTTTTGATATTTGACAAAAATGGCCACCCCGAAAGTGCCAGACTTTTACTCCAGTCAATAATTAGGAAATGTTATTGTGTGATTGTGAAATAATGCTGTTTTTAAGTGAACAATTGTTCAGTGCCGTGCAATAGTGCATCAGGGTTAATTTTAACAAAGGATAGGACGTGCAAAATGAGGTATGTACCAATTGTGTTAAGGAGAGCTTTTAAACAGAAAACAAATAAATATATTTTAATATCAGCACGCACGTATCGATCTATAATTAAACTTAAACATTTACTCCTCTCCTGCATATGTTTCGTTCTTTTTTGAGGTGTTTGACCAACATAAAATAAGTAAACATTCTCGTCATGGACCATCGATCTTTTCATAATTATGGGCATATTTAGCAATTTGATGAATAGAAGTGCATAAAAAAACAATACTACGCTTGCATGTTTTTACCGTATTCCCGTGTTCTATGAATGAAAAGTTTCTTGCTTGATGTTATTATTGATTTTCTAAGGTGTGTTGTGATCTACCGAGTCTACCCCACACGAAGGCTTAGGGATTATTTTAGTACCCTTATGATTGGTTGCGATGACCTTGAATCAATTTAAATGAATGAACGCGACACGAAATTTCTTTGAATTAGGGTGGTGTTCCCCTCCCAAGGGTAGGTTTGTACTGGGTAAACAACCTCCCTATATAGTGTTATTAACAAGGAAGCTATTAAAATATTATGTAGAAAACATTAATTACCTTTGATAACATATCAACTAATTGACTTAGCAAACATATTCACAATGAAGTCCTTTCAGAAAATTAAATAGTGATATAAATTATCAAAACTAGAGTCTTTATTATCTCATTACCATTGTGTAATATACTAATACCAATACTCTTATTCATTTCAGCAATGATCATGTTGAAGGATAGTAATTTAATTATAATATATACAATGTAATTATAATAATAGAAAGCTATAATAGGCATTATACATTATGCAAATTTTTCCTGACCTTTTAAGTTTTATAACCATAATAACATTATCATAATTAATTTCATGGGTCAAATTCAATACATGGCAGTTTAATTTAGTACATTCTGTCACAGTAATGACATTAAGTCTAGGGAATTATTGGAGGGAGTGTACAAAGTAAAAATATCTAATACTTCTTCCCATTATTTTCATTTGTTTCCTGGATACTTATATTTATTTTCTACATAAAAATGGTTAAATAACAATTTTAATTTAAAAATATTGCAGAAATAAAAATAAAACTTATTTTACAACAAGCTATTCAAGGTAATCTCTTTTTTAAACTGGTATCATTAAAACTTATTTGGCATAAAAATTATATTTGTCAATGAATCCATTTTTTAAAACCAGATTGTCCATAAGAAGGTGAGTCAGTGGCAATAAATTAAAACTTGTTATTGGTAACTAAAAACACTGCTTCTCAGTAATTGGTTCTTAGGTAATTCATGATTTTCTCACGAAGAAAGATATACTGCTCACCTATATAAAAATAAAATGTAACATTTATACAGTCTAAATTGACACCTAAATTACCATATCCTCACTCTTAATTTACATGCATGCTGCTATTAATGACAATTAACAAAATACAACTCCCCTTGAATGTATCCTTTTTAAATAGTCCTAAAATTTCTCTGGTGAGTACACAAAACTATTATTACAAAAACTTTTAATTAGCTTTTTGTTGTACCCTTCCTTATTCCCTGCTTTTTAATTAATTTCAAAACCCCAAAGGAAGTTTTTATTATAATATACAGTCAATTATTATATCCATAAATATGAATTCAATGCTTACAATTGCGATTGGTGTTTTTTTATCCCCTGTTTTTGTGTTTGTACAAAACTACGCTTTTGTAGGTACTTTACAATACTTAATGGAAGTGGGAAGTACATGTGTCTATAATTTTAATCAGCGTTGAATCATCATCGATAATTGATTTGATTGCTGCATTATAACACTCATGTGTTGCAAATGTTATTACTAGGTGGCTAATGATGCAAGAACTAATTATATGAAACTAGCCAATACCGCGACTTCGTCTTCTGAGATGACTAAAAATTCACTTAAAACACACCATCACAGAGAATTGTGATTAATTAGGTTGTATTTAAATCAAGTAATGCTTGAAAATGTATATGAAATATTTAGTCGGAAATAAAATGATCTAATATTTCTCTATATTGCTTAAAAAGTTATTTTTAATTGACATTCACCAACAATCAAGTTGATATTATGTTAAATAATTTATTTTGATATTTGACAGAGTGCCATCAGCTAATTAACATTTTTTATTGCCGTCTTTGAGTTTTTTATCTGCAATTCACATGTAGAGTTTTGACCTAACACTTGAATCATCCATGTCCAGTGTGGATGCTAATAGTATAATCGCGCGGATGTTAGATTTATGCCGCGTGCTTTATACATGACGGCTAGGGACCTAAGGAATGTGAGATGTAGGAAATGTGATGATTAAGCTACATATTGAAACATAGTGACATTGCTAATAGTGGTTGACAAAGGCATTTAGGATATATGTAATTATTTGTAGCAGCCATTTCTGTTTGTAATGAAATAGAGCTTGTAATGAAGTATATATAAAATAAATGCAGTTTTACTGTGGCAGGTAAATTTAAAAATAGCATTAGAGGAAAAAACCATTACAGCAAAATTAACAGTAATAATATATGATAAATATACATTAATATATACAGTATATTGTTAATTTTTGACTTTGATTATTGGTATTGTCGTCCATTGAATTATCCTTTATGATATTATAATTACAATTGTGTATCTTAAAAATAATGCAACAATATGAAAGCTGAAAATTAATGCCGAATTATTTTAATACTGACTTAGAGAAGAATAACGGCAGTGATATGAAGAAAAAACAGAAGCATACAATCGTTAATTTGTACTCTAGATGGAGTATGGTTTTAGGGTTGCTTCTTTCGTAGGAATTCGTAGCAATTAGTATACGTTACCAATTAGTCACCTGAATATTGATCAAATATCAAAAGCATTCAAAAATATCACATTTACAGATCGCTGTAAGGTTTTGGTTTCAATTAAAAAAGATAAATTCGACTTCTATCATGTACGATAATATAGATAATATTCTGACGAGTTTTTTAAACTTTTGCCTATAAAATTTTGTATTTTAAAATGGTATAATAACAAATTTTGGAATGTATATTTTTTCTCATCTACTCTACTGGTTTTCTTGTCTAAAAATATAATCAGCGTAATAGTTACAGGACTTTAAACATACAACCCTGCTATTAACATACAAATGTGTTAATACTTAATATCTTAAGCTTATCTGACCTTTAAGATAAAAATACCTAAAGTGACGATTTCGCGTTAAACCGTGATTCAGGGAATTCGCTGAGTAAACGAATGACTAACTCAAGTCCTGCTAAAAGCCGTATTTATATCCGTTATTTAAACATTAGCAAACATAACTAATCTATTACAGTCTCAGAAATTCTTCCTTGGCAATTAAAAAAAAAAAAAAAACATCAGTTCAGCTGTGACCGTCATCAACATCCCGTGAGTGATGTAGGCCTCCATTGATCAGTGCTTAATCCACCTCACTGGCTAATTATGTGTAGATGATGTATGTTGCCATATTCTATGATATCCCGAGTTACTGAGAGGATAAAGAAAGAAAAATCCATTGGTGCACAGCCGGGATTCGACCACAAGACTGAGCATCATTTATGGTAACAACTGAGCAAACATCTGCGTTTATTAATCTTAATATCTTGATGTTTTTTTTTATTTATTTATTTATAAAAACATTCCTGCCCTAACAGGCGACCCTAAATTGACAAAAGTGAATAAAATTTACAGACGAAACAAAAAAAAGCAAACATACGAAATTAATTAGGAAAAACAAAATTACGTAATAGAAATACAAGAAATTAACTAACTGCTATAGGCACTAACAAATAATAGAACTTTTGCCAGTTCACTCAACGGACAATGAAAAAGTTAAAGATTGTTAATTCTCTTTATCGCGAGATGGTCAGTTCTAAGAAGAGAGATATCAACGAGGCCGTGAATCAGATAAAAGATGTCTTAGATAATCTTACAAAAAGACTTTCGTGACGGTTCATTCACGTGATAACACAAATTAGTGTACTTAAAGATTTAAGTATCCTGAAGTTAGACAAGAAAATTCAATGAATAAATATACTACGTATATTTTAAAGTCAAACCTTCCATAGGTCAAAAACCAGTTGACATTTAAAAGTTATAGTTTCTCATAAAGCTTTTCAGGTGTCCGATCGTTATAACAACAATGGCAGTGAAAACGGTATAATACGCATCCAGCATAATGCTCGTTATTTTTTATATTTTTGCTGACTCATTCCGTGACCCAGAATGGTTTAGCGGAAAGCTGCAGTTGGGTTTA